AGTAAAGGCACAGCAAAGTCCATATAAGACATACCAATTCCGTTGCGTTCGGTGAACACCAACCTATAGGTGAACTCAGGGTTGGGCACCCGTTGGTCGACCAGAGCGTAGAGGGCATTGGCGTCAATCTGTTGCGATATCCGTAACAGTCGGACTCCGAATACGAGTCGGCCGTCCGATCGAAACACTAGAGGAACGCACAGTTCTCTGAGGAAAGGGAACGGTATGTGCTTAGAGTGCGAGTAATACACGAGATTTTAAGGTTAAGGGACATACCTTTGGGCCAATGGCTGGCACTCTTGGAACTGATTTTTGGTGACATCTCTGTGGCACGAGAAGCACGTGAACGGCTCGAACACAGAGTCCTTCGCATAGTGTTTGACACACCCTTCCAGACACACTTCGCACACCCGACCCGAGCATATGGAGTGACTCAGTAGAGATCGAATGGGTTTACTTTCCAGGCCTATGGAGGGGACAGACATGTCATTAGGAGCTGAATCCTAGAGACTGATTGGCACAGACACTCACATATAACACAAATACTGTCACAATCTTTGTCGTTGTCGTCGAGACTGTCGGCGCCGGTATTCAACGATTGGTTCAGTTGGAAGAGAGACACCTCGGAGTTGCTGTCATTCAGCGACAGCACGTCCTCCGAGTCGTCCACAACGCGAGTCACGTGATTGCCGTTCATAACCTCCGCGACCGCCAGTTCCGCATCGGGAATGGCGTCGAGCGACAGTTGTTCCCTCACTTTGTGTTTGATTTGTACCACAGAATCATATTTGTTCTCAACGGTCACCAATAGGCGAGTGGGCGGACCGTTTCCATTGAGAGGCTGGTAGGTCACCACCAGCTGTCGGTGCCGTACGACCGGCAACGGAACGGCTAAATACATAAATGCCTCGAATGTCTGACTCGTGTGTCGACACATATCGCAGACAATCAGTGAACAGAGTTGGCCCTGAAATGTGTCCACAACGCAGGATTTGGAGGGCTGGCATGTGGTGGAGGGGGTGTTGTTCGTGAGCGCCTCCTCTTCAGCACCGGTGGGTCCGTCACTCACTTTCAGCCGTTTGTTCGCATTCACAGTCACGTGATTTGATTTGATGTGATTGTGGTTATGATTGGCAACACTACTGTCACCGCCGTTTACACCACCACTACTACTACTACTGCCATCACCACTGCCACCACTACTACCGCAGCTACCGGTGCTCATCAGCTGTTCGTGGAGTGCGTCCAACAGAAGCGCTAAGAACTCTTGGGCGTCGTGTTGGCGGCCGTCAGCCAAACACTTATGCCTTCTGGACATCGACTCACGTATGCCTTCCGCACGAATGGGTCCACAGGTGGCCGACCGGTAGGCCTTCAACAGAGTGACGAACTCATTGACGATCGTGTCTTCGGCGCCGGTAGTCGTCGCCAATTGGAGGCCATTAGACATCAAATGCGAGACGAAGTGCCGGTTATTGAGCAGACACTGGAAGACACAGTTCTGGTAACAGGTGTTGCCGAGGTTGGCCAGCCCTACGCCGCCCACAGCGGCTACCGGTGCCGACTCGTCCCAGACATCGCCAGCAGCGGTTCCGTTGCCATCGCCGGCGCTCTCCTCACTGTACGGCCAGTCGCTGGTGGACTGCGAGGGCGGCAAACCCATCGACGCCTTCGTCAGGTCAGCGCTTCCAGTCGTGGCGGCGGACGAAGGGATGTCAACAACGCATTGCACGACAGCCATCACTGGTGCCGATGATCACCACATGAAGTGTTGACAACTGGCGCCACACTATCACCAATCGCTTCCCAGATGAGGCTATTTGTCGATCCAATCACGTGATTAGGTGTTAGGCGCTGGTGAGCGACAGTGTCTGTCGCGTTGATGGCGATGGTATGAGCGGGTGCTATGGGTGTGGACACACTGGCGGTGATAATTGGCGGACTAACTACTGGTGATGTGGTGATCGTAGGCAACGATTGTCTCATCGATATTATCGATACCACTGTTTTCAACGTTGCTATCGATTGTCGCGCTTTTTATGACAGTCACCGATTGGGATGTGTTGGCAGACACTGGCCGTCGATGACAGTTGCGGTCAGCGTT